GCAACCCTGTGTGACTACATATGCAAATAAGGGGCTCCCGGCCTTTTCCAACGATACCTACCTGAAAATCTTAACACCAGACAAAATCGAGTTATTAATGCTTCCCTGGGCTTGTTCCTGCATTGCATGGAATCAGGGTGGCTTTCAGGTACGGAGAAAACGTCACTCAGCAGTTCCAACACCCCGGGCTCTCTGGCCTGGCTGCACCTTCACCTGCTCCAGCTGCACCTTCACCTGCTTTACCTGCACGCTCTTTCCAAGACGACCTATTCCCACCACTGGGCGCGCCAACACCTTTCCAGCCACGCAGCCAGCACTCCGGCCTATCTCTGGAACCTCTGGGCAGCAGCATTGCCAGCGCTCGGCTCTCCCTCTCCCGGCTCCCATACCCATCGCGATGTAGCACATGGCACACAGCACGGCGGCAGAGAGCACCTGCAGCAGCTCCCGGGCCTTTCCCTTCGGGATAAAGCCACACCAGGGATGAAGGCGGCCGCTGGCTGCGGCTCCCAGTGAGCCTCCGATCCCCGGGGAAAACCGGGGGGCGCTGGCCCCGCATCCCGGCGGGCAGGGTTGAGCGGCGGCTGCTCCCCGAGGCCGGGATCGCCCGTGCCCCGCCACGAGGTGCTGCCCCTTCCCGGCTCTGCCGCAGGCCCGAGGGCGGGGGGGAGCCGGGAGCGAGCTGGAATTATGAAACCGGATCAGCAGGGAAACCCCCGGGGCCTCCCCCGCGCCGTACCTCGGAGACCTCCTCTTCCTCCTCCTCCTCCTCCTCGTCTTCCTCCTCCTCCTCCTCCTCTTCCTCGTCGTCGCTGCCGTTGTTGCTGCTCTCGCTGCCGCCGCCGCCGCTCTCGCTGCTGCTGGCCGGCCGGGCCGCCCGCCCGCCGCGCTTCGCCTTGCCCGGCACCGCCTTCTTCTTCAGCAGGAGATCGCACACCCGCACCAGCCCGGCCGCCCCGGGCCCGCACGGCGACGGGGCCGCGCCGGGGCCGCTCGGCCCCTCCGGGGGACCGGGCCCTGCTGTGGCGCTGCCGGCCTCGCCGCCGCCGCCCTCACCGCCTCCCTCCTCCGCCGTCACCGCTACCGCCGCACCGACCGCCTTCTCCATGGCCGGAGAGGAAGGAAAAGGAGGAGAAGAAGGAGGAGGAGGAAAAAGAGGAGGAGGCGCCCGCGGCCGCCGCTGCCTCGGTCACCTCTAGCGCCGGCGCCGCCGCCGCGCCAACTCTCGCGATACTTCCTGCGGCCGCCGCTCGCGCCGCTCTCGCTCCCCTCACGCGGCGCGCGCTCCCGCTCTCCCCTCACGCCGCCCGCTCCCGCTGCCCCCTCACGTCCCTTCCCCGCTCCCGGCTACGGGACCGCGGCGGCGGCCGCCAGACACCCCTTTCCCCCCGCCCCCTTCCCTTCCTTCCGCCCGCGCCGCCGCCTCGGTCACCGCCCCGGCGCCGGAACCGCCGCTTGCGTCATCACCCTCAGCCTTCAGCCCGCTCCGCCTCGGTAAGGGCGACAACGGGGAGCTCGGCCTGGCCTCGATGGGAGAGGCTTCCCCGAGAGCCCCCGTGGGCTCAGAGGTGCCGGCGGACCCCGCGGGCCCTGGGGCAGCGCTGCCCTCAGAGCGTGAGGGAGCGCGCCCAGGGCGGGAAACTCCCCTGAGGGAAGGCCCGTGTGGAGAGCCCACAACCCTCAGAATTCCGCTTAGAAGCGATGGTCTCTCATACGGTGCGGACACTATGCATGAAAAAGCAATCTCCAAACGCCTCGTATAATAAAAATTGGTGGGGCGTCGCTGAAAGGGTCAGAAAATAAATTGTTTGGGTATCATGAAAGTGACGGTCAGTGAAACCGCGGAGCACCGAATTCCAGTTAAAAGTGATGTCCAAGGAACGGCTGGACATGGCAGTCAGGGCCGTGGTCACCTTGGCAAGGTGGTGATCCATCAAAGGTTGAAATCGGTGGCCTTGGAGGTCTTTTCCAACCCAAGTGTTTCTAGGATTCTGTATTCTTCCACACAGTTAGCTCCCACCTGGCACTCTGCGTTCAAGAGTAGCCTCCAAATCCCTGTTTTACAACAAGTTTCTTACAATTTCACTAAAAATTACAAACATTAAGATGCCTATGTCGATTGGACCATATTTCTTTAATGAAACCCTTTGAAAATGTCATCATGCCTGGATTTAGCCCTCAGGCCCCCTAGCCCAGATTTTCATTCCCAAAGTGTATTGGGATATTAATACCATTGCCTCCATTAGGGCAGACCAAGTCCTGCAGTAACCAAAGTTAAATGTACGTTAAATATAAGTATAAATGTAAGTTAAATACGTTAAATATTTAAATTGTGGCTTCCCCATTGGAGAAATGGGCTTTTTCCATTTTGGAAATAAAAATTATTTCCTGTTGGAAATAAAAATTATTTTAGCCACCGAAACACATGATTGTAAAGATCAGTAATGGTTCTATGCACTGGTGCACTGTGGATGTTTTGTAATTGGTGTTTCAAACAAACAATGCCTGCTTTTTTACAGAAATGAAAAGAGATTGTTGTTATTTGACTAACTTAGGTGTTGTTTCTTTTATCTGGCCAACACTGGAGAGCACCAGTCAGGTCTGAAATCACACATTACTTTTTAAATAAATCCTCAACTGGTGCTCATCTTGGAGTCTGCACAGTTCCCCTCAAGTCCTCATGTAGCTGAAATCCCACCAAAACATCCTCTGGATACATGCCTCTGGATGTTCTTAATAAAAGGACTGCCTTGGTTGTAAGAGCCCCACTGTTAAATTACACTATTTCCAAGTCAGCTGGAAAAAACTGACACAGAATCTTAACTTTACAATTCAGAAGATTAACCTCTGATCTTCAGGTACAAGGTCTAAACTGAACAATACCTTTATAAATAGCTCTGCAGGTGATGGTTTGAGGTGATCCAGGAGGAATAAACTGAATACTTTTAGCCATCTACTTCCTACTTCCCGGTGTGACTGCACAGAAATCTCAAACCACACCAGCACGAGATGTGCAATGGCAGATCAATGACAATAATACTTTTGTCCTCTTATACTTTTTTTTCATTAAAATCAATGCAAATGCATTGGTTTTTACTGGTTTCTACTGGGGTGCAAGCACAGATTAAACATTTGTTATTTGTTACAATTATATGTAACATATATGTTATTTAGCATTTATATTTAGTACTATTTGTTGTCATCACAAGAGGCAGAAAAGAGAGCTGTAAGTGAATATAGGCAATCTCAGTCCTACAGCCTGAGATTTGTGGTGTGGTGTGACAAGGATGTAACTTTTCCAATGGATAAGCCATTAATGGATTATGGAAAAGTGACCTGGTCTTCATGGCTTGATCCGAGAGGTGACTGTCTTTAAACAAAACACATCTGAGATTGCTCTGGCTGCACAAGCAGCCAGACAGGTCGTCCAAATTGACCCACTTGGGTCCGGGAAGGGCGGCTGCAGGGCTGGATTTTACCCTTGGAGCTGGTAGCTGCCCTCCCTCTGTCCCTTCCCAGGATGAGGAGGGCGGGGAATGGCCTGGAATGAACGTTCAGCGGCAGAGCTCAGACCGCGTTACTCTCAGCGACATTGTATCACATCCCTGCCTTTGACACTGGGCGCGTTTGCACCTCAGTCCAAGTATCCGTTCCGGTTTTTAGACTTGGAAAGGGGCCGGTTCCTTGCCAATGAAGGCAGCCCTAGTATTTTATGTCCCAGTGCGGTGCTCCAAGGCCAGGATCAGATGGAGCAGTTAGCAGCAGCAGTGTTGGCACAGGCAGAGCGGCCTGCCGCAGACTGTTTGTTCCGTTTCTTTTATGGCGGTGACCTCTGTTCTCATCAAACAGTGGTGCCTCCTCATTTCGCACTGCAGAGCGGCTCCTTTTCTTCCCTTTCACAGCACCCAGTTTACTTGATCCCCGCTCTCCCTGCCACCCTAGCTTCAGCCTTTTGTGCTGGAGCCCTTCCAAAGAAGGGCAGTGGAGCTGAGGAAGAGCCTAGAGTCATCATGAGGAACAGCTGAGGGAGCTGGGGGGGGTCAGCCTGGACAAAAGGAGGCTCAGGGAACGTTGTCGTTCTCTAGAACTCCCTCTAGACAGGAGCGTACAGCCAGGCTCTGCTCCCAAGTAATGAGCAATAGAACAAGAAACAAGCCTCAAGTTGTGCCAGGGGAGGCTCAGGTTGGAAATGAGGAAGAATTTCTTTGCAGAAAGGGTTGTCAAGCATTGGGACTGCTCAGGGAAGTAGTGGAGTTACCATCCCTGGAGGTGTTCAAGGGACAGCTGGACGGGGCACTCAGTGCTCTGGTCTGCTTGACAAGCTGGGGATTGGGCACAGGTTGGTCCTGAGGGTCTTTTGGAACCGAAATGACTCTGAGATTCTGTGAGTGCAACATCAAAGCACTTGAGTTCTTTAGAGAAACTCGGCTTTAGAACCATGGGGCTTGTAAGGTTTTCTTTTGTCATGGGCAAAAGCTGCTAACACGTCTGCTCCTAATCTTGGGATGGTTTGAATGCCTTGGGAAGGGGTGACACTTCTCCAGCACTTTATATTTTAGAAACTCAAACGAAAACATTCTGGTAAATACTATGATAATCATCAAGACATAAGGAAGGAGTAAATAATCAAAATTTTCTTTAGTAGTTTTTCTTTTGTGTCCCAGTTTCCACAAGGGTGTATGACCCATAGCTATGTTTCCTGTTCATAGGTCTCTTAGGGAATGGATTACCTATCACTGAAAAGTCAGCATAGGCTCTAATTAGGGAAGTCATAGCTATAAAACACATTTCCTTCCCTCGGTGAGTCTGTGAAGTCGGTTAACTTTGGACACTTGGGTTTATTGGTAGCATAAAGCTGCAGGAAATCGTGGAATCGTAGAATCGCAAACTGGTGTGGGTTGGAAGGGATGTTAAAGATGACCCAGTTCCAGCTTTCACTTTTCACTAGCCCAGATTGGTCCAAGCCCTCTCCAGCCTGGCCTTGGATCTTCCAGGCATGGGGCAGCCAGGGCTTCTGTGGATAAGCTGTGCCAGGGCCTCACCACCCTCCTAAATCTTGAGAAAGATTATAATCCTTTGTTATCTCTTTCACCTGTGACTTCTGCTTCTGTATTTATTAAATTTCCTCCACGTTACTGATCGTTCCACTGATCACTCCATAGGAGTAGTGGGAAAGCTTGGGGTCTGGACTCAGTGAATACTTTCAGGAACTCTCTCGTGTGTGCCAGATTCCTGAAAAAGTTCTACAGGACAAACAATGTGTTGACACCTCTGCTGTGGTATAATTATCCTCGTGGATCCGCTTTCAGTTTCATTTATAGCTGCTGGAAGCAGTGTCATTGTCAAGGTCAGGAAGCAGGGAGCATGGATTTCGTTAATACAGAGACTGAAAAAAGTTCATACCTTCTTGAATTTTTAACCTGACGTCAGGATTGCTACAGCTTCCACAAGGCTAAAAAGCTGATCATCCAAATAAACTTGAAAATTAATCCAAACCCCAAATTCTGCCAGTCTCACCAGTGAGTGCTTTGGTTGTCGTTGGTATGTACAGTTTTGCCATTGTTGCAGCTTCTCTAAGTGCTGGAATGTTTTTATTCCTATCTTTCAGGGAACTGTGAAGCCCAAATTTTATTGTCTGAACACACACAGCAAAGGGACTGGCTCACTGGACCACCTTGGCTCACAGCATGGAAGATCCATCTGAAATGGGAGGCAAGATAAACTAAAGTTAGACCAGCTTATTTTAAACAGAAATAATAAAATTGAAGTTGTTCAGCAAGTATGCAATGACTGCTGTCCAAGGCAGATGAAGAAAGAAGGAAAACAACACTAATGTTTGTACATTTAGAGAAATGCAGTTGCCTGTGAAACACATTTTTAGCCTTGTCTAAACCACTCAACTTTCACCCCAGTAAATTGCACATGGAAAAGAATGATTTAAAACATATTTTATGTAGCCATAGCATTTGCTTTAAATTCCGTTTTTTAACTATCTCTGTTTCTTCATTACAGCGAGTAATATAGCAATAAATAATAAAAATAAAGCCAATCCAGACAGATGGAGAATTTAAGAGGAGCAGCAGGAGTCCGGGACAAGTGCATAGAGTTACAGCAGAAGGTAAATCTACATTACTGTTAACACTCAAACCCTTCCAGTCTGAAAGCCCCTTTGGGATCAACTTCTGCCTGTTTGGGGCACTAAGTATGGTGATTTTGCCCTTGGCTGTCCTTATCCATGATCAGTGCCATTGGAAATCCACATTTATATCCCTGCATTTGTGTTCCACCTCAGATACTGATGTGGCATGTTCTATCAGTTGCTCTTAAAGCATCAAGCCAGCTTTGACCACTTCCTCACAGGGAGAACTGTGAAAGGAAAAACAAGTCCAGAAAGCAAAACCTTTTAACAATTGATTCAATAAAGAAATCTTCAATTGCTCTGTTAAAATACAAAACATTTGTCCTGTAATGTATTTAGTACTTTGGGAGTCCTAATTAAGAAATGGCTTAAGCACTTGAAATCCTAAAATGCATTAGTACTCTGTGAGCCTTACATTTTAACATGCATAAACGATTCTGAAGGTGTGTTTCAGGCTCCTAATTTGCCTGATATGCTTTCAAAATTATTATCCTTTGTGAGTATCAAACTGAAAAACACCATGGCAAAGAGAGGAAAAGAGCACCTGGACAAAATTCTGGATTCTTCCCCATTCTCTTCAAGTGTGGTCAAAGGTAAAATAAAAGACAAGACAAATCATAAGATAATGTGATTTCTTTTTTTGGGTATTTCATGTATAATGGATCTGTAATCCAAAAATGTAAATGAGACCATGAGACCTCTTGAGCCAAAGCTGCATCACCTGTAATTGAATATCAAAGTTTATATGTCAAATTAATGGTGGGGGGTTTTTTTTGTTTGTTTTGGATTTTTTGTTTGTTTTTTGTGTTTTTTTTAAATTTAATTTTAATATTTTTATTGCTGACATTTAAGGTAGCATCAGCTGTGGGCTGCACAGGAGTCAGCTAGAAGGTTAAACATTTCTTACACTTTGTGTTCTGCCTGGGTTCAGCCAAACCATAATGATAATTTCTATAGTAACCACTTTTTAAGTAAACAATTGATTAGTTCTGAAATTAGTCCTTGAAACGGCTTCTCCTGGAGCAGCTTGGAAGATCTCACTGCATGCAGCTTCTGCTGGCATGCAGAACAACACGGCTCAGGCTGTTTTTTCTATCCTCATATAGAGTGTGCCTTGAAAATATTTATCCTCCCAGGGTAGTTTTATCTCTGGATAAGGAAGGGAGTGGGAATCTCCATGTAAAACTCGCTAAGACCTTGGAATCGGGCAGTGAAGGCAATGTAAGAAATGCCTTTGATATCTCAGAAAGGCACTTTTAGTGGAAGAAGAACATTTTTACAAACTAGAACTAGAAAAACTGTCTGCACGTTTTTGCTGGTCTAAAATTCCCTAATCCCCACGGTCCCGTGGAGCCTTGGTTTCCAAAGAGAACGTGCCCTCACTTGCTCACTGCGGGCTGTTTCTCTTATTGTGGGCTCCTGCTGTTTCAGGGGCCCATGGGACAGCGTTTATTAAAAACAGAGTTCCATGTTTCTGTTATTGCAGTTGGACTCAGCAGGTGGAGCCAAAAGCCGGCAACACACCTGCAGCTAAAACGAGTCTGCTTTTAACTCTTTGCAATGCTTGGAAAATTCACTTCTACTAAAGCATTTGATTCTTAAATATGTACGTCCTCAAATTGTTTCTTTATTCTACAGTAGGTATGAAGTGATTTTTTTGTGTGTAATTTATTTCCAGCAGGCTAAACAAGCATTCCTGTCTGTGCGTGGCATTTACAATGCCATTGACTTGATTGTTAGCCAGTTACAAATTTAGGAGGTGGTTTGAATAGCTTAGTGTTCCTCAATCAGTGACCTTTTCAATAACGAGGAAAAAGTGCCGGTGGGGTGAGTTTTCTTTTTGCACTTGTCATGCTCTTATTTTCTTCTTTATGACTCTGAGTTCATTTATATTCTTTAAATGAGAAAGTACCTCAAATGTCAAAGTTATACCTGCCTGGTGAGTGAGCATATGAGTGTCTTGAAAGGTAAATCTGGATCTTTTATTCTCGTTCATGAATTTTGCTGCACAGCCTCAGCTCAGTTTTCTCAAGTGTGTAATTTTCAATTATAGACAATATATTAATTTCCAATACTTAGCACTATATTCCAGAACTGGACTGCTTTATCAGCATTACCGCTTATCTCAAGGAACTTCTCACATTCTATATTTCTGATGCATCTCTTGAATTTAAAAAGACTCACGTAAGGACAAACATTCTTCAAGAAAAGTGGTTCCATAGGCCTTATACAAGTAGGAGCACCCAATAAATTACACATCATTTACTCATCAACAGACCAAGTTTTCTCTCCGTTATTAATCCAACCCCAGTGAGGGCTGATTTCTTTTTTAGATACATCACTGTGGCAGTTCTCTACGATTGTCACTTTCTTTGCCCACAGGAACCTGAAATTTTTCTCAGTTTTGAGATCCACGGCTTCTTTGTGCAAATTGTTTTGTTACCAGTAGGTGGCAGATTTCTCCTACCTGAGAGCTTGGAAAAAGCTTCACCGGGCTAGTTCTTATGGAATGCTGACACCTGTTAATTCAGGACACACCGGAGCTTTCTTGGTCAGTTCTCTTTTAGGAAAAGATTAGGCTTGAACATCAGTTTTAGAGTAACCTCGGTATTACCTGAGCCAGACCTGCTTTTTCCAGGTACATTTCCTACTCTTCCACTAAGCAATCTAAAAACATTTCTGTGATTTGGTGTGAAATGACTTCCCCAAAATATTGTAGGGAGGGTGGAAAATCTGCATGGAAAAATCCAAGATACAATCTCCCTTTTATCGAGGTCACTTTCCAGTGAAGTCAGGCAAGTTTTGGCACTGACTTTGACATGAATTAGGCCAATACTGAATGCATTTCAAAATCCTGCACAGGGGACCTGGTGACCTTTGTGAGGTTAAAGAGCTCCTTAAGCAATACTAGTGCCCAAGGGTCAGGAGTCTCTGCTTTGTTCCCGCTTTAAATCAGCCCTTTCTCAGCCTAAAGTACAGTTACATACTAAAAGCAGGAAAGGAAAACTTAATTTTCTTTCCAGAAGTGGAAGCAGACAGGTTGCCTAGCTGATAACAAAGAATCAAATAAAATCATCTTGCTTTTCTATGAAAACTAACTAACTAACTAACTAACTAACTAACTAACTAACTAACACACTTAAGTTCCTTGGCAAGCCTAGTCTCAATGTCAACTTCTGCACACAATCATTTTTAATTCCAATATTACAATGTTGTTCTGAATTGAATTTTATGACTGGCTTGAGTGTGAAGTTTCCTTCTTGTGGGTAGACAGGTAATCTAATGCCATGTCAGTGGAGTTCCTGTTTTTTGCTAGTGGGATAGTGGGAATGACATGGAACACTATAGCCACGAGTCTCTGATGGCACACATCCCAAGGCCCGGGGGAACTGGCTCACGTGGTCTCCAAGCCACTCTCCATCATCTTGGAACAGTCACAGCTGTCAAGTGAAGTCCCCAGTGACTGGGAAAAGGGAAACTTTTTAAAAGAGGAGTAGAAAGCAAGACCCATGGATCTACAGACCAGTGAGCCTTCCCTCTGTGCCAGGGAAGACCTTGGAGCAGATCTTCATCGAAGCAATGTTGAGGCACGTGGCACGCAGAGGAGTCATCCAGGACAGCACTCACAGCTTCACTGAGGGCAAACTGTGCCTGACCAAACTGGTCCCCTGATGATCATCAAATCCAACCAATAACCTAGCACTGGCAAGTGCGCCAATGAACTATGTAAATTAACTGAATCCAAAATGTTTCACTGAAAACATCAGAGTTTTACTGATTAACTTTGATAAAATCCACAGTTCTATTTTCATATTGGCTCTGATAAACCTGCAGGGAGGGCAGGCTCTGTACTTGAAAGATTTCTGTCAAGAAATGTAAGAACATTTATATTCTGGGATGTCAAAGGATCCACCCCAAATCTCTACCTGCGGACAGCAAAGAAGCTGCAGCACCCAACAGTGCAGCAGGACATGGCAAACCATGAGACTTGTGTTCACATCAGACCCTCAGCATTTTCAGGCTTCCTGGGCTCACCAGAAACAGTCACCTCCTCAGTCTTGACTTAGCTCCAGGCTGTCCTCTCTGCCAGTAGGAAGTGGGAGAAATTGGGTTCACCACATAATTCGCCCAGCTTCCAGTCTCCCAGTCCAGGGAGTCAGGAATCTGCCTACATCTGCACTGACTTGAGGGGAAGCCTTCAGCCTCTTTGCACCGGGAATAGCTCCAGTGCCTAGACACCCACTCTGTGTTTCCAGCACTCAGAGTCAAGGAGGACAGTCAGAATCCCAAGTTTACACTAACCTGAAGGTGCCAGGTAAGGGCACTACTACATTAACTGTTATAATTGAATTTTCTGAGTTATTTTTGAGCCCTGTGGACAGGCTGTGGATATGCCTGACTGGCAATATTGAAGAGCTGTTGATATGGGCAGAAAGCAAATGTCAAGGACTGTCAGCATGGGGCTGGAGGGCACCACAGAGGAATGCCCTTGCGAGTGTAGCCTCTGCCCAATTGATCCAAAAGACAACAACAAAAGCTTCCTGTGCAAAGAGTTTGTTAATATTTCTTTGCATGACTTAAGAAGAGTGCTCAGTTAATGTTCAGATTTAAAAAAAAACAAAACAAACCAAACATTACAGTTATTTAGGTTTTGCACAGCCACAGATGTGCCTGATATATGCCTTTAGTTCCTCTGATACACGGACCAATCTTCTGATAACTTATTTAAGAGAACTACAAGAACCAGACAGATCTTTGCTAAGCTCAACTGAAGTTTTTGGTCTCTGGTGACATTTTTCTGATTCTGGGAATCAGGTACTGAGGAACCTTTCTTCTAAAATCAGGTCTTCCTGAAGGCCCTCAAATTCAGAGGGATTGAATTTCAAACCTCGATTATTCACTCCTTCCAAAATCAGAGTTTATAAGCACTGTCTAAAGAAAACTGTCATTTAAAATGACTATATTTTTGTTTTTTCTAAGTTGTGAGGGTTTTAACTTAAGAAACTGTTTGCTCAGGAATAGAAGAAAGGCTGAGAAAAGAATTTATCTCCTTAATGCTTTAGGTTGCCTTAAATAGATGAATTAGGATCTTCCCAAGAAAGAAACCAACAAAAAAAAAAAAAACCCAAGGCCCCAAAAGAAGAAACAGCACAGGAGAACAATTATAGCAGTAACACAGATTCTGTTTCTATGGAGATGGACATGAAAGAGAAAATATTTATCAGCCTGGCAGTTTTTAGGCCAGAATGGGAAAACCTCAAGTTGACAATGCAACTAAAAGAAAAACAAGGCAAGTAAGAGTGTCAGCACTGCCAGGTGATGCAGTGACATTGTGGGGGGCCGCTGCAGAATGGCAGAAATTTTCCACAAGTCCTACAGCCCCTCTAGACATACAGGATTTGTTTCAACTCTTAAAGTGTTTCAAGTTGAGAACAAACCCAGTGGCTCTCAGAATCATTTGTTCATTTTACACATACTTTGTCTTTGATGCTAGCAAATATACCTACTTAGACTTACAATAAAATGTTTGTAGCTATATTTTTAATGAAAATTGGAGGTTACAGATCAATGGTCTAAAGGAATTCGGAACAAAAAGATGCTCCAAACATTTCCTGCTGTTCCTCAAAAAATTTCAGTATTTCTTTTATTGCTAAAGCTGAAGTAGATCAAGCTTAGGGAGGAAATATTAACCATCTCTTGTCAAACAAAAGTTTTCAGCTTTGGCTCTTGACTATACCACATTAAATGGCTCTTCTCTCCTGCCAAAGGCCATCAGGTAGCATAGCAGAGCAGCACAGATATTGCAGATTGAGTGCCAAAACGTTTCTAGGGCACAAGCGAATGCATTGGATTCCAAAGGCCTCCAGGACTTTTGTAAGAGGGAGAAGAAAGATCTCCACTGACAGTCCTATCATAAGCCAAACATCAGTCACACCACCACAAAGATTTCTGTTCCAGAGACAATTATCAAAGGCATTATAGGAAACAGTGAAGAAAAAAAATCTTCCTGAGAAGGAAATTTTATATTGCCTGAATAGAGCAACACTACACCTCGGGTATTTCTTTCCTGCATCTATTTTGCATTTAGATAGAAAATTTAGATACATCCATACCAAGATATAACACTGATTTTTTTTTTTTTTTTTGAGAGAGAGACCTTAGAAATGGATAATAAATTAAGGCAATACTCAGCTATTTTGTGGATTACCTACATGAACTGGCAGAGAAAAAAGTCACAGGGACATGGAAAATAGAGACAAGTTCTGAGAAGACTCAGAGACTCAGAATTGGTATGCTCAAAAAGCACTGAAGGCTGTATATTTGGATCTATTCAAGCAACTGAATGCTTAATAGGGAAAGCAAAGCTGTTCTTGTACCTGCTGCCAAAGAATGATGTGGGCAAATGGTAATTAATAAGGAAAACAGCTGCAGCACTACATTGTGGACTTGTGAGACAAAGGGGTAGGGATGGTATAATGCCCTAGGGATCAAATGTACAGGATCAGCAAGAATAGTCATCCTTGTCAATTCAAAAATCCTCACTGAAATGATCAAGAGCTCACTAACACTGCAGTGAGTGGCTGATGGCAGAAAATGAAGAGCTGAGGATCAGAACTCAGTGATGAGGAGACAGAGCAGACATGGAATGCTGTTAGCTCCACCTGAGCTGGTCTCTGCCTGTTCTGCTGCAGTGACCAAACCCCTTCTGTCTTCATGTTTGCCTGTTTTCTATCAATGAGTCCATCTCTGTTCAAACAAAAGCCAGATATCTGAGATGTCTGGCTCATTCTGCACAGGAGCCAAACATCAGTGATAAGAATGACAAACATCAGGCACCAGGGCAGGAAAAAAAGTAATACCTGATACCTGTCCATGTGTCCAGAGCTACAGACATTTCTTTAGAAATATACTGATCATTATGGTTATTAAAAAATAGCTGCTCACTGTGGCTACTGGCACAGGAATGTCTGTCTCTAGGTTTGGTGTGTGTCTCATGGTCCAGAGTCCCACAAAGAGAATTACAGGTCTTCAAAACAGCAAGAAACAGCAGTAAATAAAATTGAGGACCACAAAACTAAAGGGTTTCTTCATGTCTTTTGGATTTTGAAAGATGATTTTGCAAAGTACTTACTTCCCAAAGGGCTGTGCTAGTTGTTGTGATGATACATGACATTTGTTTCTCAGGAGCCTCATGCCATATTAGTGCATCTCAGTCCACTTGGTTTCTACTCTGCCACTTGCACAGGCTGGTGTGATGAAATATTTTAAAATTGTGCATCCTTTTTATTTCCAGGTCAATTACTATTGAAATGATTGTCCTTTGCATCCTTGCACTTGGAGTAAAACTAGTTATCATCTGCAAATTTAGACATAAATGAGTGTAAAACTGGATCATCCTAAAATGCCATTGATAAATTGCTTTTTCTAATACCAGGACACCTTTGTTGGTGTGAACTCAAAGCAGTATGAAAGCAGTGAGTAGGAGAAAACACAGTATAATATTTAATATTGTTAAACAAACACGAGCATTGAAGTTCAGCTCTCAGCAGTTATATGAACCATTGGCATGAAGTACAGGACAGACAACAGAAGATATCTAGAAATAAACATGGACCCTGTATTCCAAACTTACATATTAACTCCAGGGGACCAGGAGTGTTCTTGCTAACACTGCACAATGCTCAAGGGAAAATTCCAGAGAGCTTTCAAGATGCAACACTGCACTCATTGTGCTGAATTTCAGCTTTGCCCTGCTAGCTCTGAGCTGTAATTTTCTGGACACTTCTTTGGTACAGCCTGAGAGCATCTCAAGAGCTGTTCTAAGACATCATTCACCAATACCACAGTTTTTTACCACCTTGCAGTTATCCACAAAATACCTAAACGTGTGTTTCTGTCCCACTGAATGCTCTCTTAAGATTTGAAAGGAGATGGGTCTGCTCTGAAAGAGGGATATGGTCAGTAAAATAATTACAGACTGAATTAACAAGCTCTTTTCTCAGATTTCGTTAGGCTAAAGCAGCACAGGTCTGAAAGGCACAGATTGTTCATCAATTCCCATCGTTCTCCAGAAATGTGGGATTTTGCTACAAACACCTGAAAACAATCCCAGTGTCTAACATTATGACATTTCTAACATTGCTTTTTTGCCAAACTACATTTCCTGCACCATCCTTCATGTAAGAGTTATCCAAATAACCTTTTAATTCCCAAAATAGAGCTTTGTTCATTTAAATCACTAACAGAATGCTGTCTTTTACCTACAAAAATATTAGGAGCAGACTCAGGAAAATGCAGAAATCTTTTTGCAACAGCAGCAGCCTGTAGAAATTTCATTGGATGAAACTATTCTGTGAACTCATCTCAGTTTTATGTGGTTATTCCTGGAGAAAAGAACAGCCTTTCTGAAATGCAGGATGCATTGTCTTGGCATTTTTCTGAATGAAAACTGCCTGCAAATATTTTGAGCTTAGACAGGTCATTTGCTTTATTTCAAAAATAAAAGCTTTATTTTTGTCTTTAAAAGCTCACCCTCAGAAACAAAAGGAAGTATTATGCATGTACTTACTTAGACAAATTTCCAAAAAACTGATCATTGAATTCTTCTAACTATTCCCATTAGGAATAATATAGAGTTATGGGCAAAGTGCCCACCTGAGGAAGAAAAACAGAATAGAAAAGGGAACGTGTAAGACCGAGGAAGTTTGGAGATGACACGCTTGGCTCTGCCACATGGGTGCTCACAAAGCAGGGGGGCAAGGCAGCACACAACCTCCAGGTGTGTGGGTTGACAGCCACATACTGGGGACATCAATTCATTAAAATAAACTGTAGTATCTCCCCCTGGAAGCTACACTACTTTGCACTCAGCAAGGATCAACCTTGTACTTGTTTGGGAATTTCTGAAGCATCTCATTGGGTGTCCTAGAAAAGTAATTTTGATTTTATTCCATGTCCTGGGCCTCAGTGCAAAGTGCACATTTCTTCCTGGGTCTGATCTCCAAAGTTACTGGCTATCAATGGGAAATTTATCAGAGAGGAGAGCAATGTTTAATTAAGAGATGACTCTTGGGAGGATGTCAGTACAAATGATAAATTGCAAAAATTCTGAAATGGCAGCTCTTGCAAATGTTTACCCATCTGTTTGGCTGTTTTCTGGATGCTGGTGAACAGCAGTGCCCACAGAAAACCACAGCAGGCCCTAACAAATTCAGGTGCTCTAATCAGCCACAGATGTCTAGATTAGCCATCTCATCCTAACAAAGTGATTTAAAATTAAAATTCTCTAATTTCAAGTGGACTGAGCCCTCTCTGGGTGAGTTGTTGCTATACAATACCAACATGCTTTGCTTTTGAACAAATACTAGCAAAAAAAAAAAAGGCTATAGGATTAGCCCTGATAACTGTTTTGTCTGATGCCTTGAACTCCTTGTTTGTCATTTGATAAGGAAATTTACGCAAAACTTTATCTTTTTTTGGGTGCTGGGAGGTTCAACCTCTTCAGGACGAAAAGGCCCATAGTAACAGCACAAAATAAATAACTAATATCAAATTAATTTTTTGCAAGCGCAGCTGAAGTTTTGTAATCTTCTTCAGGCCAAATGGAAATCCACAAATGCCAGATCAAGGGTTAATATTTTACAAGCACAGATAGTAAAAGGTATATAAGCAAATGCTCTTCCTTCACTCTTCCTAGCATTTTTGAGCAATTTTGCTCACATCATAATCTGTAACCATGAAGTGGTTAACATTAATTTCATTTATTTTTCTCCTGAGTTGTGCCAGATCCAGGAATCTGCAAAGAACTGCACGAGATGCAGGTAAGAAAGGACTAATTCGTTCTCTTGGAAGTCTCTGTTCTATCAATTTAATGTCTTTAATATAGTTTCACAAACAATTTGTGGGAGCCTGATCCATATTGAACAGAAAAACAGGATTGACTTGAAAAGAACCTAAATTAAGGCACAGTGGGAAGATGGGTAGGACACTCAGGACAACCTACCTGGGCCAGTAAGTGTGGTGCCATCCCTCTGCAACATCTGTGTGGTGTATGAACAGATGTCAGCGACTCAGGATCCCTGCCTTTGCAGCGTGGAAAAAGCAGCTGCACTGTGCTTCTGCAAGTTCTGTCTTTTGACAAGTTAAGAACTCAGTGTGCAGAAGAAGAATGTTTGCTCTAATCAAACTGCAGCTGCATTGCTTTATCTCCAGCACACACGTTTGCTAACCCTAAACAGCAAGTCCCAACAGTCTTTTTGAACATCTGAATCAAGTAGCTGCTTACAGAGGTAATAAGAATCATAACAATCGCTTGGGTTCCCTCAGAAAGACAAGCAAGCCTAAGAGTTAGGTACCTGTAGACAAATGAACAAGAAAGAGTTCAAGGTCTTATGCTCTAAAGAATAAAAGTCGGGTGAATTGTGCACATCTGGCCTGTGGTGCCCAGGGGGTATTTTTCAGGGTGCAGCACAGGCAGTGTGACAGTGACAGCGAGCATCACTGCTCCCTGTGTTTTCTTTGCCAGACCACAAGAGCCCCATTGCCCACCGCTTCAACGACCTGAAGGAAGAGACATTCAAGGCAGTGTAAGTGAACGTTCACCTTCCATCTTCTGATTGGTTTTTGTGTCTCTCTTCATATTGTACCAAAAAGGGAAAGGAAGACACTGTGTGAGCTGTATGAGCTCACAAGGAGTGTGCATGTCTCACTGAAACACTGACTTAGCCCCTTACTCTTACTGCAAAACCTAGAAATATTTTAAGACCTGCAAACGTCACGATGACTTTCTCGCTCTCTGGGAAAAGAACTCATTGCAAATCTTGTGAAAAAAGCCTCTGCTCCTTCTCTGAAAATAAAATCGGCATGAGGAATACAGGTTTGATATCCTTAGAATGAATAGAAATCATGCTACATTGAGACATTGCCAGAAAAAAACGCAAACCACCAACCTCAGTAAACAAACCTGTGACACGTTTTCTGAGACAATTCAGTGATTTTTATTTCAAACTGGTTTTGGGAAAGACAGAGGGCCCTGACAGACATCTAAGTACTGAGAGAAGGCAGCCTGAAAACCCTAATTTGTAACAGTGGCCAAACCCAGCTTAGGTCATGGCATTTATAAGTTTGCTGGTAAAAGTTGCAGAAAACTCCAATCACAGTCTTTTCTGGCTTGTTCCTAATTTATTATTCAGGACTTCTTTTATTAGAAAGGTAAAAAGGTTATTGGTAAGGTTAAAAATATGTTCAGGAAGAGGTGGTTGCCACAAGACAGATGTGGGATCTGGCACTATGCTCTGCACAGTATTCTGGTTAACCTTTGTGCACAACTGTGAACAAACACATTTAATTCAGAGGCCCCTTTGAAGATACTGACTGATGTTTCTCATTCTCATATTCCCAACTGTGCTTTGTGTTTCAGTGCCATGATCACATTTGCCCAGTACCTGCAGAGGTGTTCCTATGATGGACTGTCTAAGCTGGTGAAGGATGTTGTTGATTTGGCACACAAGTGTGTGGCCAACGAGGATGCTCCTGAGTGCTCAAAATCACTGGTAGGCAGTGAATCCTTCAATACTGTATTTCTCCTCACTCTGTGCAGCTGCCAGGATCACCCTCCTGGAGGACTTACACCTGAACCTTCCTGTTGTCACAGGCCAATGCTCAGATTTTAGTGCTTGAACAAAACTTGGTTTTGTCAGGTTCTAAAACTGCCTTTAAGAAGTGCCTAAATGATCCAAATACCACGCTTTGGCACATTCAGCTTAGCATTTCGTACAAAACTCCAGCTGTGAAGTACAGGCCTAATTCTAGGTATTAAAGTGACCCAAGTGGGTGGATATTCACATTGGGGTGACTTGAAAAGGTGTGTGTGCTAATTTAAGGCACTTAGTTTAGGAGGGTTTAAAAAAATTCCTCTAAAATCAGGTAACAAAAGAAGTTGGTGGGTATTTAGGATCCCTGGATGTCTAACGATTTCAGCTAGACATCAATTCTCCCTAAAGGTTTCCATCAAAGCTGCTTCAATTAATCTGAAAATTCAGTTTAGTCAGATTATAAGTAAAAGGAGAACACTGTCTTGCACAGAGTATTTTAAATTATAATTAACTTTTTTTTCAGTAAAGTATTGGAAAGTTTTGATATCAGACTATAGAAAATAAAACTTTATAAAATTATGTGAAAAACAGTAGATTATTTTGATTCATGGTCTAAATCTTATTCAGGAAAAATGTATTGACTATTCAGCCTGGCTTTTCTTCTGCAGATAACCAGACAATACACTGCACTGTCTATACATAAACAGTAATTCTGACCCTTTCCAGCCCTCTGTTTTCCTGGATGAAATCTGCCAAGTGGACAAGCTCCGTGACTCCTACGGTGACATGGCTGACTGCTGTGGCAAAGCTGACCCCGAGAGAAACCAGTGCTTCCTGTCCTACAAAGTTCACCAGCCAGACTTCATTGCACCATACGAGAGACCAGCTGCTGATGTCATCTGCAACGAGTACAAGGACCACCGAGTGCAGCTCCTGGGAAAGTAAGGAACACAGCCACTTCTGCTTTCTTGTCCTCAGCACATTTTCTCCTTTCAGGTCAGAGCATGGGGTTAAGGACCACATTTTATAAATCTGATGGCTGACAACATGAGGAGTTCACCCTTCACTCCCGCTTACTGAGTCCTGACTTGGGAAGAGGGAGATTCAGCAGAGCATTTCCCATCAGCAGGCACAATGTCTCAAAAGTAGATTTCTTAACTAGAAAAAAGTTAGAAAAGCTGCAAGAGGTTTAAGGCCATTTGCTGTTGTCACTGATCATGGAACTTATTTCCTTTTCCTTATAGTTTCGTCTATACTGTTGCAAGAAGAAACCCCTTCCTGCATGCCCCAGCGATCCTGGGTCTGGCTGCTGAGTATGAAAATGCACTTAAAAGCTGTTGTCCAGAGAGTGATGTTGGTGCTTGCTTGGATGCAAAGGTACAGCAAATTTCTCTCTGTGCATAAACACTAAGCAACTGAGTGAGAGACAGGCAGAATTCTCCTGTTCATGCAAATATTTGCACGAAGAACTTGGAGAGACAGGCCAAGATTAATCATATCCAATGGCTGTAATCAGTTCAATGTGACAATGTGTATCCTGTTACCACAGGCAGCTGTCATCAAGGAGAGAGCCAAGCACATTGGTGTGAAGCAGAAGCACGAGTGTCGAGTCCTCGAAAAGTATGGCGAGAGGACTTTCCAAGCAAAGTAAGTCCCAACCCCTTTTTTTGATACAACATAAGCTTGTCAACCTGTGAGACTGAGGAAAAGCTCACCTTTGTGAGAGTTGCAGAGCAATTAAACTATCTCTGGAACCAGTCCATAAAATGGAGAATTACCTGTTGGACTGTCCCTCAGAACCAGAGATTACAGAATGTTTAATCCACACTTTTGCCAAAGCTGTACCCCGTTCCAGTGCCTACAGCTTCCAGTGCTGGACACATCACTAATCAGCGAAGTAAGGTGCTAGCCTGAACCTTAAGCCAACCAAAAAGTCGACTGGGCAGAATCACAGTTGTTAAAACATTTGTTTGTAAGAGAAAGCTTTTACAATTAATAAGTGGACACCTGTCTGGGCACAGAGAGGTGCTTTCATTCTGTGGCCAGTCTGATACACTACCATTGACCAGGATTATCTATAGACACAGTCAGCTTTCATATAAAGCTATGATCAGGACTGTATCTATCTGTGCCAAGTAATTTGGAGTACCTGCCAGTCACTCAAGAGTGATGGGGAATACCAGGGGGTGATTCTTACAGTTCAGACAGAGCAGAACAACCACACACTTGTTCCTCTCTGGCTTCACTAGTGCAGACGTTGATACCCTTTTTTTTTTCAGCCACCAGAAATTAGATGAGAAGAATGAGTATTTTTTCCTGAAACAATCCTCATGTACCTTATCATGTGTTAGTGCCTTGCAAGGTTTGTACTCCCTACAGTGCTTTAAAACAAGTGTCTTGTTCTCCTTTTCTACCCAGTAAACTTGCTCGTATGAGCCAGAAATACCCCAAGGCTCCATTTCCAGAACTTGTTAAGATGGTCCACGATGTGAAGGACGTCTACAAAGAGTGCTGTGAAGGGGACATGGTAGAATGCGTGGATGACTGGGTGAGCTCTCTATTTTAAAACAATGTTTGCATTGCACACAACGCAATCACAAATAAAGGAAAAGAAAGCAGGAGCAAAACAATGTTTGCATTGCCACACAACTCAATCAGAAATAGAGGAAAAGAAAGCAGAAGCAAAAAGGCTGCCATTTTTCCCCTGTCCTGTCGAGACTACTGCCATTAAACCAGGTTTGCTGTAGTGCCAACGAATGCTAGAGAAAAGATCAACAAACTTCTGCCATAGTGAGAGGATTTCAATATTGCCTGGCTGACTGAAACCTGGCACACCTGTTGAACCAGCTGGTTCCAGTGGTCTGGGCTCATGTCATGTTTTGTCCTCTATCAGAGCTGGGCATCTTGTCAGGACTGACAAGATCCATCAGGCATCCTTGTGACAGAGCACTCCATGGTGTGCTCATGCCCCAGTTGTTTTTCTTTGTGTGAAGACAGCATTTTTTTAGCCAAGTGCTAAGTAAATAGGTGACCTGAGTGAAAAAGGAAGAGTCTGAAGCAGAGAGAGCAGATGAATTAATCTCAGTTATTATTTCATGGTTTGCTGATACTATGTATATTAATTTTACAGTCAGAGCTCGTGGCCTCTTTGTGCTCTAAACAAGATGTTTTCTCAAGTAAAATCAAGCCCTGCTGTGAGCTGCCAGTTCTGGAACGGACCCGGTGCATCATCGAGGCAGATTTTGATGACAAGCCTGACAACCTTCCTTCACTGGTTGAAAAATACATTCAGGATAAGGAAGTGTGTAAAAGCTATGAGCCAAACCATGACGCATTCCTGTCAGAGTAAGTAGTGCCAGCAGCATTCCAGCCAAGCTCATTGTCCACCTGAGGAAATGTCCTTGTTATTACTGCACTGTGCTTGATGAAAGCAGCACATTACTCAGGAGCTCTGTCTGCTCCTGTGCCTTTCAGGTTTGTTTATGAATATTCACGAAGACACCCCGAGTTCTCCACACAGCTGATTCTGAGGATTACCAAGGGATATGAAACACTCCTGGATAAGTGCTGCAAGACAGACAACCCTGCTGAGTGCTACGGAAACGCTGTAGGTGCAAACCTTGTTTGCAGATGCCTAGGATGCTTGGCTGGTCCCTGTCATGCAAGAATCATGTTGAGAAGCTCTTATAGAAGAGCAGACAGGAAGCTTTTGGAGAGACTAATTCCAGGGGCAGTTAATGTCCTGGTAGGAGATGAAGCAGTCCATGGCCCATGGCAAGGATACAGGGTTATCTTAGATCACACAGTAATTCCATTTGTCACAATATTTCACACTAGTCTCACTCAACTAACTGTCTGATCCCTCCGTATCTCCAAAGTGATTCTGCTTGTCCTGAGGCTGACAATTAACAGCTCAGTTATTCTCTGAACTCCATGGCCTACACTGAGTATGGCTGCTCATGGATTGGGAGGGGAATATGCATGACCAGCACACAGAGACACCTCGACTTAGGTCTGATCTGCAACTCAGTCACACAAGACACAGCATAAGGTTATTTCCTGAAAGCTTTGGCCAAGAGATGTTCCTCTCATGGTTGATAATAATTTGAAATATTTACTCGATTTAAACAAATGAACATAAACCTCCACTGTTTAGAAAATAAGTCCAACAGGTAATTAATTTAAATTAATGACATTTGCAAGGAATTTCTGTTATAACTTATGACCCACTAGGGAATCAAATCCTGCTTACATCATCCTGGCTACACAGAAGTGATCAACCTTGGAAAATGAGTATTTTGTAGTTAAGGTTTAGAAGAGGTCAGAAGTTACATTTGTACGACTGCTAGCAGCAAGTCCTGCTCTAATATTACCAATAAATTTGTCCTTGTTTGCAGCAAGAGGAACTGAACAAGCATGTCAAGGAAAGTGAGGACGTTGTGAAAACGAACTGCGAGCTGTTCAGCACCCATGGCGAGGCAGAGTTCCTTAAAGGGTGAGCAATTGCTGCTAACTCTTCTGGAGTGCAATGAATCACACTGGCTGCTTCGGGCAGGTTGATTTGGTCCTCGCTTCTATTTGCCCTTCAGTGAGCTAGATGTGCTCATATTTGAGGAATGCTCTACTAACAGTCATTTTCATCTTTGCCAGACTCCTGGTCCGCTACACTAAGAAAATGCCTCAGGTCTCAACTGACACCTTGCTGGAAATTGGCAAGAAAATGACAGCAGTTGGCAACAAGTGCTGCAACCTTCCTGAGCAGAAACGCATGTCTTGTTCTGAGCACTATGTGAGTACATGGATTTCTTCTGTACTTCTGTACCCTTCTTCTCTTGGAGATTTTTCCTGTATGCCAAAATACTGAATTCTGGTGAGATGGCAAACACAGTGATTTTTCATAAACACCAGGCTACACATTCCCCTAGCAGAATTCCAAGTCTGTTCATTTTATAATGGATGTGAGAGCCTAAATAACTATCTGATGGTAGCTTGCCAGAATTTTAGCTCAACTTTGCTTTCCCTCAGAAAGCAAAAGTAAGTTTATAGAATCACAGAACCACAGAATGGCCTGGATTGGAAGAAACCTCAAAGATCATCCAGTTCCAACACCCTGCCATGAGCACACGATCCAGTGGGCCAGGCTGCCCAGAGCTCCATGACTGAGACTGTGCCAGGCTGCACTTGGAAAAGCTAAACAGTGTCCTAAAACCTTTAAACCTACCAACTATAGCCCAATGCCCAGACTGTCTGCAGATGAAGAAATGCCTTACTCCAGGAATACCTATATATTTTGGATTTTAAACACATGCCATTTCCCAGCACATGTTACATTCAATAGCTTCCATTTCCAGCTATGCTACTGTGATACAAACATCACCTAGTTGCTGTGTTTTTGGGAAGAGGTAACTCACCTTTGCCCTTTGCTTTTCAGCTGAGCATTGTCATTGAAGACATGTGCAAGAGGCAGGAGAGCACCCCTATCAACGACCAGGTTTCACAGTGCTGCAATGAGCTCTACTCCTACAGGAGACCTTGTTTCACTGCCATGGGCGTAGACACCAAATATGTGCCTCCACCCTTTGACCCCATGATGTTCAATTTTGATGAAAAAGTGTGCACTGCTCCTCCAGCTGAGCGGGAAGCAGGGCAGCTCAAGTAAGCTCCAAGAAACACCTTGTAGGGAAGCTTCTGAAGTGCAGCACTTGGGGAGGGCAGAGGGAAGCTACAACCCTGTTTTGTCAGCTGGCTGGGGCTTCCCTAGAGACATGAGAAAAACAGATGGAACTGTGTTTGCTCTGACTTGGTCAGTGTATAACATGCAAGCTTGGAAGAGGCAAAATAGAATTTTTTCTTCGCTTAACATCACTTTCTTAACTGACCAGTTTCATGTAGGCCCACTGCCAACAACAACAGGCACAGGCTCATCTAAGCATGACAAAAACCCCTCATAAATGAGCAGCACCCGGGGGAAATGGTGTCTTGTAAAGTGGGGAATGCAGCTACAGCAGGCAAGATGAACTGTGTCTTGTGGCTTGGTTTCCAGATTGCTCATCAACCTCATCAAGCGCAAGCCCCAGATGACAGAAGAACAAATTAAGACAATTGCTGGGGGTTTCACTGCCATGTTGGACAAGTGCTGCAAGCAGACAGAGGTTGAGTCATGCCTTGGAGAAGAGGTACTTTCTATCACCTTTTTTAAAACAAAACAAAAACCCACATACACACAAAAAACAAACAAACACCACAAAAAAAACCCCTACAAAAACACCCAAACCACGTGTACAGGAACCTGGAAACTGTGCACTAGAGATTTGTTCTGCAAACTGCTGTGGTCACTTGTCCACGTGCCCTTACAATAAAAATGGCCAGAGCTTCATATGTATCTTGGCAGCACAAATTATAGTCACTTAAAGAACAATCTCACATGGAAAGCTTGCCTGCAGGTAATTTAGTCAAACCACCTGCTCAAAGCACATCTAAATCCTAGATTAGATTAAGTTCTCTCATCAGAAGAGCCAAGTATCTACAAGCCACAGTTGAAAAATATCCATGTGTAGAATACAACTTGATCTCTAGCATACATACACTTCCTTTTGTGCTACAGATCCTTACAAAACTCTGGGATTACCAGTAAAGGGTGCATCCGGATCAATTCTCAGAACTGCCTAGCAAATACAGATCTATTGGGAGTTCATGTCACAGGAAAAGCTTCTCTGGAGCCATAGTGCATTGCCAGAAAGAAAAAATGACACTTTGCAGTAGCAACCTCATTATAATGTAGAACTATCACTAATATCTTAAACTGCTTATTAATTGAATTCTTTTTTATTTATATCCAAAATGTTACATACTTAAATATATCGGGAATACCTAGGAACGAATTCTTTTGTCTCGAATAAGTTCCAAAAGTTTATTTTCTACTTTGGCAAATTTGGAAGACGCACAACATCCAGGGGTACACGGGTTCTAGGGTCAGGAAGTACCATCACAATTATCCTTTGAACCATAAGTCAGGCACAAGTTTAAGTTTCTAACAACTCCTCCTCAGGCACAACCTGCTTTTCTCCTTGTTTTCTCTCTCACAAATGCTTGTGTTCCTTTTCCTAGGGTGCTGCCTTAATAGTCCAGAGCAGAGCCACACTGGGAATTGGTGTTTAACCCCAGGCAGGTAACAGCAGTAATGCACAAACACCTTTGTGTGTCAGTCTGTCTGCTCCTTCATGCCCACCCTTCCTCCCACTGAACTTCTTTATTCCCAAAAAGCACCCAGCTTCCTTTAAACCTCCACCCGTGCTTTCCCTAGTTGTTTTACCATCTGCCAATGCACAGGGCTCAAAAAACTGAAGTACCACCAGTACGCTGCCATTTTACAAAATATTCCCTTTTGTCTCTCCCATCTAGGTTGCCAGTGGGAAAAACATGAAGAACAAACTTTCTGAGTAACTTCTCCCACCCCTTACCCTTTTTCTTTTGGTACTGAATGACTCTTCCGCATTTTGTCACACTACGTGCTTTTCAATTCCTTTACTTAAACAGGAGAAAAATAAAGGCTTTATAAAATTGCATCTGTCCTCGTCTGCTGGTGATTATACCACAAGGCAAAGCTCGGCAGTGCTGCCTACACCAAATGGCTTTTCTAAGTAGAATATAAGGGCAGAGTCTTTATTTCAGGTTTTATTCTGTTTATTGCTCTTGGAAAGTTTTTATGAAAGAAAATGAAAGTTGTAAGACATTTAGCTAGACTTTAATACCCTGATTCAATTGCATGCTGATTTTAGGCTCTACTTCAGCCATTATAATTATTACATTAAAATATAAATATTACATAAAAATTACATTAAGAGAAGTTTCAAAGGTACTGTTCGATCTAAAGAAGATCATTAGCAAGGAGCTCTTCTAAAAAGAAACAACCTATTATTTCTACATCAGCCACAAATCAAGCATCTCTTCATTTACAAAGGGTTGCAAACAGCCCTACTTTAAGACACTTTTCATGTCTTGTTTTTTAAAAGTGTTTTAAATTTTCTCCTGAAGAGCTCACCATACAAACCATGCCCCTCACTGCAGGAAACTCCCCCGAGAGACATTTCCTGGACCTATGCCAACAAACCCGTGTGATTTGCTAGGACATAATTCATTTCACCGGCCCGGGGAGGCGCGGGCCGTGTTCTCCCGCAGTCCCGGACCCCGCCACGGCTCCCGGCAAAGCTCCCAATCCCTCCTCCGCTCACCTGTCCCGCGTCGCCGCTGCCGCTCCCTACGCATTAAGCGCGGAATTGAAAAAAGGGGGCGCGGTGCAGCGCTGCTGCTTTTGTGTCCCCACGCCCACACCGCCCGCCCCGGCCCCGCCCCGGCCCCGCCCCGGCCCCGCCTCCCTGCTGGTCCCGGCCCGGCCCTGATACCGACCCAGCCACAGCCCGGCCCCTCCCGGAGCGCCGGGGGCTCTGTACGAGAATCCGAGCCCGGTGCTGCGCCGGGACAGATGCGGGCCGCGCTCCCGGCGCCGTGAACGAGACCAGCTCGTGGTCCGAAGCTGAGCCGAATCGAGCCCTGCTCAGCCGAACAGAGGAGAACCTTACGAGCCGGCCGAACCGAACCGAGCTCGGCCGAACCCAGCCGCTGCTCTCGTGCCCATTAATTAGCGCGAGTGCAGTCACTGCCGAATGAGCTCCTACCCCACCCCGCGCTCCCGCCCGTGCCCGTGCGATGGCCGGGCCGCCCGCGAGACTCAGCGGCAGGAAAACACCGAGCTCTGCGGGTTTAACGTGAGGCGGGCCCGCTTTCCCCCGCGCCGCCCTCAGGGAACAGAGCTAGGCTCCGGGGAAGGGATTGAGCGGCACCGAGTTCGGCCGAACCGAGCCGAGCTCCGCCGAAGCCATGGAGCGGCACCGAGTTCGGCCGAACCCAGCCGAGCTCCGCCGAAGCCATGGAGCGGCACCGAGTTCGGCCGAACCCAGCCGAGTTCGGTCGAACAGAGGAGAACCTTACGAGCTCAGCCGAACGCAGCCTCCTGCTCTCGTGACCATTAATGAGCGCCTGTAATGAGCTTTTAGATCAAAGCATTTTCCCTGTTTATCTCCCTGCCGCTGTTTCCCTCTTGCCTTTCCTGTGCTGTCTCAGCCCGCTGAACTTCATACCCCAAAACTGCTTTGGCTCCTCTTTACCCTCCAGTAAATCCAATTTTCCCTGCTTCTCTCATTTCTACCTTTACTCTATTCTTTAACTTACCTTTAACAAACCATCCCCGACTTATAAACTTTGTTTTCGGTTAGGTTCGGCTCGGTTCGGCTGAACTAGGTACCCGCCCCTACACCGCGTTTTGTCGAACCCCACCCGCTGCTGCGGGCCCCCAGCGGCGCTTTCTGAGTTAAAGCGGTGCTGAGGCCGGTCCGGCGCTCGCTGCCGGTTCAAAGGCCGGGCCCAGGCCCCGCTGCCCAGCGAGGTACCGGTCCCACGGCGGCGGCGCTGCAGCCCCGGCTCCTTCTCGCTCGCTGCCCGTGACGAGACCCAACCCGTGGGCAGAATGAAACGGCCCCTCCCGTCCCCAGCCCTGTGTCCCTGCCGGGCCCTGCCCCTTCCCTGAATAGCACGGGTGTCACGCCAGGGGCACCGAGGTTTGGTCTCTGATCGCTCTCGGTGAGAGGCGGTCCCACCTCTTCCCCGTTCCCCAGCGACCGCTGCTGTCAGAAAGGCCCGGCTTGGAGAGGGGCTAGCCGAGTCGCATTTCACAGCTCGAGACCAGGTTCTGTCCGGAACCGCCCTCCCTGCCCCTGCAGCCCAGCAGCAAGACATGGGTCTCACACGCTGTAGCCCCCTGGGATGAAGAAACTCATTTCTGCAGCATGTTTTATTGCAGAGGAACGTGAACCTTGTGCAACACTCTTTTACACCCAGAGCCTTTTTCTTTATTCTTTCCCATAAGCAGGTCGATGGAGTCAGAAGCCTGCTGCAGCAGGGCATGGAGGAGCTGAGCCAGCTTTGCACAGAACACCTCTCCTCTGCCCCCAGCACAGCAATGCCAGGGAAAATCCAAGTGCTCCTTCTCGGGAAACATCAGTAGCTCTTGCTGTCCCTGTGATGCTCCAGGAGAGGTTCTGGCAGAGCTGCCATGCTCTGCACCTGCCCCGACAGGTGTTTGTTCTCCCCTCTGAGGAGGGGACCTGAGTGAGTGAGGGGACCCGCTCCATCCCAGACAGACAACTCCTCATGTGTGCTCCAGGCACAGCACACCCACTCCTTACCAGCTTCTGGCAGGGCACAGGGGCCAGGAGGTCCCACAGCAGCCAAAGTTGTGTCCTCAGTCTCTTGAGACAAACGTGGTGACCAGACATTGCCCAGAGCAGCACTTGTGTAGCTGCACTTGGGACCTGCTGGCTGTGGAGACTGTGGGGCCCAATGGGCTTCTGTGGGCAGGGAATTCCAGGTCCTTGGTGCCCCGTTGTACCACTCCTGGTTTAACGACTGAATGTCACCTCTCAGGGCACTCAGGGACTCCCAAGTTAGGCACAGGCAAGCAATGAAGCTTGCACTGCAATAAGGCAGCCAAGAGGAACAGCAGGTCAGCATCTGCAAAAGCTGCTCTCAGCTTTAATTCCTACACAGACTTTCCCCTTTTATTTCCCCACTGTTCCACCCTTCCAAGGGAACAGCAAGTAATGGTGCTGTAGCACCATTACCAACATGTCTCCTTTCAGCTCAGGCCCAGGGAACACGAGGCAGAGCACAAGCCAAAGGGACAACAACTTCCTAAGCTGCTTTTCTTGCCCTTGCAGGAAGCCAAGCTTTAACTAGACATCAATGGCTTTCCCAGGGATTATCAGGGAGCCTGCTATCTCCTTCTACCATGTCCAGAACTCACCGTCCCGAGCTGTACTTCTCCACAGGACCTGCAGAACCCCGGCAATGGAAGAACTGCCAAGGCTTCTGTAAAACCACTGGGCTCTGTAAAGGTACCAGAGCGTGGGCACTGCCAGGGGAATGGGCGAGGCCCCTGCAGCACGAAGGAGGTCGCTGCTTTGTGACACCCCCCCGCTGTGCTGGCGTGTCCCCTCTCACCTCCTCTACAAGCCATTCTGTCAGTCCCCATGCTGACAGAGGGTGCTCTGGAGCAATTTGAAATACGCAAGACTTCATGGCACAAGTGAAACCAGATTCTGGCTGACCCTGTGGAGTTTCAGATACCATTATCTCCTGCCCTTCCCCTCAGCCCCAGATAACAGGAACCAGCACAATTTACCTCAAAGCTCAAGGCACCAAGGTCTGAATTCTCCAGGCCCTCATCGGTGGCAGAGGGGATCGTGGTTCTCTGGCGATCTTTGGAGATCAGCAGATCTTGTAGCTGTGGAGGGTGCTCCTCTGAGGAGTGTTTAGAGACTCTGGCTTTGGGACTTCTACAGGATCCAGTTTTTTCATTTTTTTCATTCCAGTATTCCAAGTCACACAACTGTATTACTTTTCAGTCACTTCCTAACTGCCTGATAAAAATCAGATAATATTACAGCCAAGACATGCCCTCAACAAGATACAGCCAACAGCAGCTAACAGGAACTTCAGATTCCATGATTCAGCCACACTTGATCCATGAGCAGTGCAAGCATAACCCTTTTACCAACCTTTCTGGCTAACTGCCAACAAACACAAGAAGTACAAAAAAAGGGAAATCAGGGTCAATCACTTCTGCACCATCAAGACTCAATGACACTGGAGCACAAGCAACTCCAGACCAGTTTTTTATTAAGACAGCTCAGCTCACGTTCCTCCCAGCACCACTGCAATAACCATTTAAGCTGTACCCCGCAGCCAGATGCTGCAGCCTGGCAGGGTGTGGAGGAATCCCAGCTGGGACACACCCGAGAGGAGCTGACATCCTCCCTGGACCACACTCACCCCAAGGTGAGAGAGGCCACCAAAGTCAAACCCTTCAAAGCACAGGATGCTGTGCTGCTGCAGCTTGCCACTGTCACCAGCCAGGTCAGCAACGATGCTCTTATCTTATGTCAATCTTTTCTGTGAGCCAGGGGTGCCAGGGCTCTACAGCCACCTGCATGCAAGAGAATTAGGGACATGGATAAATGCTGCAGACATCAGTAGTTTATTGGTATGTTTAGTCAAAACACATTCAGAATGGAAACTTAAAAGTAAAAATACTTTCCACCTGCAACAAGTAAACTAGAATCTACTAGCATATAATGCTTGACAAGTTACAGCAATAAAGATGGTAATCCACTGTCTCGAATACCTACTAAAGTCAAGATGGTCAGCCAAGTTTGTTGAAGTAGAACCGTAATGACAAAATACTCCCACCATTCACAAATCAGCGACTAACAGTAATGGTCAGTGAATCCCTTCCTTTGCTCTAAGAGGTACATTTACTATTCAGAGGGTCAAGAACACGTAAGAGTCCACAGTACAGCAGGTGAGCTATCACCATGTAAACTTCTCTGGATGATGTTCCAAGGGTTCGTGTCACTTAAACAAGAAGCAAGCCAAAAAGCAGAATGGCTCAGGAGCTCTTTTTACTACTCTGTTTTTGTTGTCGATTATTTCCAGTGCCATTTGCCATTAC